TTCCTTATCCTCCTTGTTCTTAAACAGTAGGGTTTTTTTTCCTTTAAAGTTTTAAGTTCACTGTACCCCAGAAGTGCATTAATGTACATGGTTACCATTCAATAAAAAAAATAAACAATAAATAAAGTTTTAAGTTACATTGGCATGTTTTTTATTTCTGTGGATTCATCTTATTTTTTAGAACCATATATAAATGGACTCATGTGAGATGAACTTTTGTGCATATATGTGTTCTGGCTGCTTTCACTTAGCACAGTTATTTAGAGATGTATTTATGTTGTAACATGTATCGATAGTTCATTCCTTGTTATTGCTGAGTAGTGCATTGTGGGGATATACCACATTCATTTGTTCCTTTATCTGTTATAAACATTTGGGTTGCTTCCAGTTTGCAATATATTTTTTAAAAAGCTACTGTGAACATCTGTATATGAATTTTTGCATAAATATATGCTTTTGAGTAAATATCTAGGAGTAGAATGGCTGACCATATGGCAAATTTATGTTTAACTTTTTAAGAAATTGCCAAACTCTTTTCTAAAGTACTCAGGCCGTTTTATGTTTCCACAAGCATTATATCAGAATTCCAATTCTGTGTCCTCTCCAGTATTTGTTACTGGGAGTCTTTTTAATTTCTATGTGGCATCTATTGTGGCCTTAATTTGAATTTCCTGATGACTAATGAGCATGATTTTAGGTGCTTTTTGCCATCCACGTATTCTTGGAGAAAGATGTGTCTAATCTTTTCCCCATTGTTTTACTAGGGAGAATATTTTCTTTTTTTGAGTTTTGAGAGTGTTTTAGAGGTCTTTATTATTGTCAAATATATGATTTGCAAATATTTTCTCCCAATCTGTGGCTTGTCTTTTCATTCTCTAAACAGCACCTTTTTGTGAAGTTTTAAATGTGTCTAGTCCAGTTTGTCAATTTTTCTTGTATGAATTGTGCTTTCTCTGTTACATCTAAGAAAACATTTCCTACTCCAAGGATCTTCCTTGGTCCCTTCTAGAAGTCTTATAGCTTACATTTAGATATATGATCCATTTTGAGTTGATTTTTGTTTATGGTGCAAAGTATGAATAAAAGGTTTTTTATATTGGCTTGGCACCTGTGGCTCAAGTGGCTAAAGCACCAGCCACATACACCTAAGATAGAGGGTTCGAATCCAGCCC